TTAAATTTAATACTTTTTTTTCATTTTATAAGATGTTTTGGTTGAATTATACACGAAAATTAAGAAAAAGTAGAAACAAAATATCATTTAGTAATTAGTTAAAAGTATAATTCAACCAATCATATACAAGATTACAAAATTTAAAAGGTTAAAAGTATCAATAACATTAAAATATACATAGAAACTAGTAAAATATTTTATAAAATGAAACAAAATAAATTTCCTTAAATATCTTATATAATAGAACATAGGGAATAGTATACAAGAAAACTACATCAGCTTATTACAAAAAGAGAAAAAGGTAGTTGATAAAGTCAAATTAATCCCAAAAAAATAACTTAACCATGCAAGCATAATAAAAGTCATTACAGTATAATCCAGTAAACATCTATTCTAATAAGCATCATCGCCTTGCATTGACCTGACCTAGTAAAAGTCATTGTGATTAACAAATATAAAACATATAGAAATTATCTAGAGGATAAAATGTACAACAAGGGTACGGTATATACAGTACATTCTCATGATTTGTGTATTTTCTGCTTTGAAGTTTTCCTAAAATATAATAAACAAACTAGATTTTGATCCACGCTAAGCGTGAGATTAAATATTTAAATTATTTTTCTAATCGATCATAATATTTAAACGTGTATTATAATATTTATAAACGTACAAAATGATATGTATATATTATGCATAAATGTAATAAAATTAAAATTTTAGTAAACATATTTCAATGTCATATGCTTTGATCAATTTTGCATAAAAATATTAAAATTAATGCAAATGTTTTTATTTCAATTTATTTGAAGTGTCAAACTGAGTTTTATTATTTGCGTAAAATTATAGAGTACGCGATAAATCAAATAAATTTGTTGGACGTACCAAACAAAAAATATATGTTTTCTAATAATAAAATGTAAAAATATTTATAAGTGTAGTTATCGTCTACAAATAAATAAAATTGTTAGAAATATAATAATAAAAAGCTTTTTAATATATCAATTTTTTTTTAAATAGATGATATGGTAAGTCTAAATATTACATTTAGTTAAACTTAATTCTGTAAAATATATATTAATGGGTTTTTGTTACAAAATTAATAAAAACATATAGAGATTTCCACCATGGCATATATTTTTGGGACAATTACAAAAATGCCACTTTTTGTGTGCACATTTGCAAGAATGCTACTTAGGGGTGCCCATTTGCAAAAATGCCACTAATTATAGATT